TGTGCCGAGCACAGCACTGCTCCGCCACCTCGATTTCTCCCCGGGGGAAGCAGAAAGCCCGCAGTGAGCTGCTGGGAGCCCACGGCTGACACCCCCCACCATGCCCCGGCCCTCCCCGGGAGCATTTCGGCAGCTGCCCTGGGGACTTCTCCTCCTGCAGCCCCTGGGCTTGTCCCACCACAGCGGAGGGGAGAAGATGGAGGAGACTTACCGTTGCCCATAGCCAGCACCTGCATGTTCTCAAACTCCAGGGTGGTGTACGCCGGGTCTAGCGCTGCGCTATAATCTGCCATCTCCATGTCTATTAGGGCTTTGGAAAGGCGCATTATCATCAGCAAACACGGGCCAGATTGTTCCGATTCCCTTGTCCGAGGCTATTGGCCCTTCTGGCTCCCTCTGCCTTCCCTGCGTCCCCTATCTGTTGTCTTTTATTTCAAATATTTCTCTGAAAGGATTTGCTGAGCCTCAAGGCCTATACTCCCCAGAGGGGTGGAGGCAGGAGGCAGGGGGTTAATCTTTAATCATCTCACCCACTGCCGAACGCTGCTGAGCTGTTTTTTTTTGGTGGAGCAGCAGTGATTCTTGTTGACTGTTTATTATTGAATCTCGAGGCGCTTTGCCTGTCCTGGTGCCTGGGCGCAGGTAGCACCACAGGAGCAGGCGCTTGCCGACGAGGGAACACCTTCCTGGGCTATTGACCTTGATGCTGGGCTGCTGGTTTTGTCTTAATTGTACCTGGGGTGGAAAACTTGGAAAAAACCCTGCCAGGAGAACAAGGTTGCTCTTGACTTCTGTCATTGCCTTCCCCTCTCCACCATTCATTACCTTCTCCCACCCGATTTTGCCTTTTCTCACTCCCTCCATCCCTCCCACACCTTTTCCTTTTTCTCCCTCCCTGACAGAGAAGGTCAGTGCCTGCCTGGCAATTTACACGTTGCTATGCAAAGTAACGACATACGACTCCTTTTACTTCCCTATAAACCGAGTTTTATGAGGGCTGGATGCGCTATAAACAGATCCCAAACGGTGAGTGGGGCTGGGGGTGGCACGGGGGCCCTGGGCATCACCGGGGCTGCTCCTGTCCCACTGCCGGAACCACCCTGTGCCGGACACCCCCCAGCCTCAGGTTTTGAGTGATGCATCTTAAAATTTTCATTAGGCATTTTACAACACAGCAGAGCTTTACTCTGCAGTGGGATTTTTCCTTCTGCAAATGCAGCCACCACCAGCACTGGCAGTGGTTCTGCTGCCTCGCCCAGACCTGGGGTCCAACCCTGCTGGCACAGGGCAGGGGGGACCACAGCAAGCGGCAGAGCCGTCTGTGCTCTCCTCCTTGCTGACCTGGGTGCTCTCCTCTCCAGCTGACCCTGGGCATGTCACTCCTCTGCTTTAGATATGACCAAGACGTTTCAGTGTAATTGCAACATCGATGAGTGGGAATTTAATCGATCACTGAACGGCATCAGCTGGATGGCGCAGGAGAACCAGCAATTAATGGTTTGGTATCAGCTTGCTCTGCGTTGAAAAATTCCCCCAATTTCGCAACCAGCAGCGGGTGACAGTCCACACGCTGCTGAGCTGAGCTCCCAGTTGGCTTGTATTTGTGCTTCCCAGGCACCCCAATGCAGCCCCGGCCCCGCTGGCACCCCGAGCTGCCCTGGCCACCGTGGCATCGCTGTCACAGCGTGACACCAAGCTCTCTGGCTCCATGACAGCACGTGCATTTGGGCAGCGATGCTAGTGACAATTTGCTGTTCACATTTTAGGAGCACAAGGGATTGTTCAAGCAGCCCTTGCTGCCGAAAGTGTGACCTACGCAGCACTTCCAACCAGCTCGTCTACGCTAAGGCTGCAGGTCTGCAGGAGTGAAGCTGAGCGCAGGGGAGGGGCCGTGCTTTCTCACTTGGGACTGGTGATAAAGGGTCGTTTGCTTCAGGGAAAACGGCCATCCGGTCTGTGCTCCCAGGAGAGAGGCCAGAGCTCTCCCCGTTCACGTGCTGGTGGCTCTTCCCTTCAGCGGGAGCAGTCCTGAGCCAAAAATTGTTTTTGCAATTTTCACACTGGGATGGGGGTGCTCAGGTAGAGCATAGCCCCCTCTGTGGCCTCGTCCCAGGGACCTCCATCCCAATCCTGGCCGGGCCATGGTGATCCCTTTGATTAGATAAATGCTACAGACACTAGGTCAAATATGCGCAGGATTTGCCACAGCGTCTAGTAAAATATCGTAAAAGCATGGCCTGTTCTGCTCTGCTCAGCAAAACAAGCCTTTTGCTTAAATAGCCTGCTGAGCAAGGAAGGCTGCACAGGCCGTTTGCTTCCCAGGCAGGAAGGATTAAGAGGGCCAGGAATAGAAATCGGAGAGGCAGCGCGTGCAGGAGAGCATCAGATAAGGAGCGGGGAAGTTTAGAGAGCATTAGGTGGCTCACAAGGCCGGGACTGTCAATGGGACGTGGCCCTTTCTGCCTGGGGTCGTGTTGGCCATCGTTTTCTCACTACTGGTGTCCTCCATTGGTCACTAGTGCCCCCTCCGACATCTCTTGTCTCGGCATGGAAGTTGAGGACCAGACCAGCCAAGGACACCACGAGCTGCCTTTGTCCCAGCGATGGGCGCGTGATGGAAACACATCAGCTACTCCCCAGGCATGGTCTGCTGCGGGAGACTGATGTCTCTCTGGGGACGTTCTGCCTGGGGAGTCGTTGTCTCCCCCTGACATCCCTGCATGGTGAGTTTGGGGACAGCTTGCCAATGCAGTCATAGTTTGTAGCAGCCAACAGGACCCTGCAGCTGGTTTAGGTTGGAGATGTTGAAGTCGGCAGCTGCTTGTGGGGCTGATTCAAACACTTCTGTCCTACAGAAGATGTTTTGCTATTTTCATTCCAGAGAGAGACAGCTTGTAGCTGGCAAACCCCCCACTGGCAGACGAAGGCTGTTCCCAAACCTCAGGGAAGGTGCTCAGGGGAAGTTCAGCTTTCAGGCCCTCTCCTCCTGTCCCCGTTTTCTGTGCCCATCACCCACCGTTTCCTATGCCAGGAGATGGCTGCAAAGGAGACCATGACAGCTCCAGGGCATGAAGTGTTCTGCGCCAAGCGATTATTTAATTGTTATCTGTTGAGCAGTAAATCCTTTCCCACACTGGCACATCATGACAGTAATTCTGCCTTATCTATATATCCCTGACTGGCAAATTCATCCAAAGCAAAAGGGGATTCCCTGACAATAAGATCTATGCTTGTGAGTAAATGAAGATCAGGAACAGAGTATTGAATAGAGCATTTACAGTAAGGATGCTGTCAGCTACCATGCTTGCTAGCTCTTCATGTCAAGTGGGTGAGCAGGCTCCTCTCGCAGGCTGCTCCTGCCCTTCCTGAACAGGGTGTTGTAGGATCAAAGGATAACTGAGATTCAGAGGGACCTCGGGGCCTCTACTCCAACCTCCTGCTGGAAGCAGGGCCAGCTGTGAGAGCAGTGTGGATTGCTTGGGGCTTTATCCAGTTGGCTCTTGAACACCTCCAAGGATGGAGACCGCACAGCCTCTCCAGGCATCTGAAGCTTGACTGTCCTCATGGTGAGTAAGTTTCTCTTTAGACACTGTCTGAACTACTTTTCATGCCCGTTGATCTCCTCCTACCATGTGCCCTGTGAGGAGCCTGGCCCCGTCTTCTCGATGCCCTCTGTGTGGGTTATGCTTCTGTGGTTCCTGCTGGCCCATTTCTCCAGTCTGCTGTGGGACAGCAGCTCTGCCCACCAGTCCTATCCACCTCCAGGGTCCCATCGACTGGACCCCCAGTCTGGGGTCGCCTGCAGACTTTCTGAGCGTGGACTCTCATGAGGCTGCAGCTGGGAGCCTGGGTCCCTCCGGCCCTTTGCTTTACTCTCTCACAGCTCTGCACTCTCAAGCAATCCCCAGCAGAAATGCCAGTGCCCAGAGCCAACAGGGCCAACCTCGTCGTGCATCAGCGATGCCACCACTGCCTCTTGCAGCCCCGACTCTGGATTGCTCCTACCATGTCACTCGCAGCTCCAAGGCCACTGTGGGGCTGGAGTGGCTTTTCTGTGGCATGCAAGTGAAGCAGAGATGGCCTTTGGGTTGGAAACCTCTCCACAGCACAAAAGCCCCGAACAAGGTCAGAGCCCCTGCTCAGCCCACCACCATTTCACCGAGCGAGCTGTTGGGGAAGCGCGAAGCCAAGTTACAAGACAGAGAACAAAAGTCCCAGGGGAACGTCACCAGCGTAGTCATCTCAACACATGCAAAGGTCCCTTCTGCTTTTTTTTTTCTCCCCTTTGAAATTTCAAATTCCAGTTTGTGGACAAAGTCCTACCTATCTGAGAATATAGATCTCCGACCACTGACCAAACTCCAGTCCAAGCAGTCCTGAGGGCTGCTCTTCCCCTTGCCCACGGATGCCTCTGCTCAGTCCCCGGATCTGCCGGGATTGCACCGAAACTTTTGCACCAGAGCAGAGTGCTCTTACTTGCACAGAGTGGATTTTGCACATTTCAGCCTTAATGTCAGCAGCTCCCTTTCTCCATACGGAATGGGAAGGACCATCGGGAATAACCAGGTAGGAGCTTTATCACCTGCAATTCATTTGGGCAGCCATTGCAGATACAAAACAAGAAGGAGAAACAAGGGCTTCCATTGTGCTTATACCAGCAATTTTAGCTCATCATTTAAATTAGGGATGGGGAAAAAAAAGGCAGCTTCACAGGGGATGGAAAACAAGAGGAAACATGAGCTGGTGAAGGCAGAGCCACTGCGAATGGTTAACTGATAACTCCAGTTTGCCTCTTCCCTCTCATCTTTTCTGATTCTCCTGATCAAGCTCAACTTATTCTCATGCTAATCATTTCTTGACCTGTTTATTGTGCATTAAAAAATTAACAGAGAGCAGTTTACTGCATGACCTGCTCACACAGAACTGCTACAGATTAGCAGGCAGGCTTTGAGCCTCTGCACAAGACTTTCGGATCTAGCAGCCAGTCTACACAGCTCGAGGATGAGCTTTTTTTCCTGTTTTTAAAGAACAGCTTTTTCTAAAGTCAATATAAATCCCCCTCCCTTCATGCCTTAAGTATATTTGCTCTGTGGCTATTTCCAAATGGGAAAGATAAAGCCAAGGGCTTGTGTTTTGTCAGACTTTTTGTAAACAGGGATATTTAGGCCACGCTGTCAAACCCCTCTGCCTTCTGCCTCAGCGTGCCGTGCCTCCGGAGCGGAGTTGTCAGTGCGTTAATAAGCAGCTCCAAGGAATCTGACAGGGGCTGGGGGCTGCAGGTCAGTGCAGCTGGAACAAGCCCCTGGTTCAGGCGGAGGATCTTTGC